TAGAAATTTTTCATGTATTTAGAACAAAACCTATGTGGGGGACGATTCTAGTGTTGATTCATGTTGTGGATCTTCGATTTGAGATAAGGGGGGACTTTACCCTATCTTCTTATGTTTGATTTCCATTTATTCTGATATATATATTTATGTGGCTGAGATAGAGGGTAGGAAACATGTGTTTTGATGAAAATTTTTGTATGTTTGAATGCCATGTGATTTGTGATGAGTTAGTCGAACCATTGTGAGTGATTAGGTATTATGAAATGTCATTGATTGGTGATTTAATAAATGTAAGTGAATATGGGCCTGTGTCATGTACTGTGAGTATGGGCTTGAGTGCTGTGTAATGTGAATGAATGTGGGCCTGAGTGCAATATGCAAATATGAGTATTGTGTGTAGTTGAAATGTGTGTGAATGTGGACTTGAGTGCGGTATGAAAATCTTTGCATCAAAAGTAATGAATTTTGTCTTTGAAAAATTCCGGAGCCAATAATTCTAAATGGGTTTATATAAAATATGAATTTGACAAAGTGTAGTAATATTTTGATATTTGCTTCTAATCGATAAGCTTATAATGGAGTTAGCACACAATGCCAATTGATGCAAGCACAGATGCTTGAGCTAAGCCAAGTTCAGTGAATTCTATTGCCGTGGGTGCTAGGGGTAGCATCTGCCTTGAGGAAGCCCTAAGCACCAAATTGTTTGATAATTCACCTAATGCTTGCTTAACATTAGAAGGACTACCAAGTGTTCAAATAATTTTTTTTATTAAAATTTATTTTTCTAGATAATAGATAAATGAAATTTGTAACGTCTTTACTTTCTTTATTCAATATAGATTCAAATTTATAACGAGGAATGAAAAAAAAAAGTGAATTTCTTTCATATTAAAAGCTTAAAAAATTGAAAAAAAATAAAAACTTTCATTTCTATTATTCAATTTGTGAAAACTCAAAGATATTCAAAACTTTTTAAAATGAAATAGTTTTGAAATTTCAATTTATCAATAGAGTAAAAATTAATATTTTTGTCTTCACAATTTACTTAATTCATATTATATACATATAGATAGAGCTGTCAAAACGGGCAGCCTGACCCGACTCGACCCAACCCGATACGAGTAACAGGCTCAAACGGGTCAGACTTAATTAGCCCAAGGTAAAAATGGACTTATATTTTTATTGCCTAAGCCTTACCTTATGCAGGCTACGGACTTTTATGAGCCGGCCCGACAACTCAAATAAGTTTTTTCTTTTTCTTATTTTTGTAACATGTCATTTTTTTTTTTACTGTTTTTATAACAACAAATCATTATTTTTATTTTTGTTTTTAGTATTTGGAACAGGCCATTTTAAGCTATTTTTGCAAGAGCTTAATAAATCACTCTTTTTTTTTTTGTCAAATTTTTATATTAGACCATTTATTTATTTATTTATTAAATGTAAAAAGCTACTAGTTTCTTTTTTTTAATTGCTTTTGTAACAGCCAATTCTTTATTTTTATACACACAATAAATCCACAAAAATATAAATAAGTTCATAATTAAACAATTTTTTTACGACAAAAATTTCATACACATAAAAAGTTCACAAAAATATAAAACAAGTTCACAAAGATTAAAAAAGTTCATCAAAGATTTAAATATCAAAATTTAAGAACATGAAACTTCTTGAGAAAGCTTAGAATCATCAAGAGTAATAGTCTCTTTTCCATTAACATATATTTTAAGATTTTGAAACTAAAATATATTCCCTTCCAAACTCCTTAAAACTCAGAATTTAATCTCAATATATATATACGGGCTGTCCGAACCCGCATGGGCCAACCCGGTTAAAGCCCTATCGGGTACCGGGCTTATTTGGACCAGGCCAAAATAGCTCAAGGTAATTTTGAGTCTTATTTTTTATAGCTCAAACTCGCCTATTTAAAAGGTTCTTTTGGCCCAATCTATCGGGCCAACCCATTTTGCTGGCTCTACATATAGACTTAAAACATAAATAACATTGTTTCTTACAAAGTAAAATAATGTAAACTAGAATCAAAATAAATAACTTCCAAAATTACAAACACTTCAAATTACTGGTTACAACAAAATTTAACTAAGTATTAAAAATTCTAGAATTGACAGTAAAACATTTACACATCAATTTCAAATATAAACTTTATAAAGCATTAGAATCTTTAGAATAATTTAAATCCTAACAGAGTAATCTTTCCTACCACTTCACCGAGGATATGATCTTAGAACAGATCAACTTTCTTTTAATTGCTTCAATTTCACTTCCTGAAAATAATTAGTAAAGATGAGTATCATCCGCCTTACTAAATCCTTTATTTTATAAATGAATCAAATAATACATAAAATATTATTTAATACAAAATATATCAAAATAGTATTAGCTCATTTACTATATTAATAAATTTACAACATATCAAATATCATAACAATCACATCATTAATATTTCAAGACATACATTAAGATCACGTCATTTCATAAATCCTTACATATTCTATACTCTCAGTATATTTCTATAACTATCTATACATATTTTAGTCAGTTTTTTATGACATATTTTCTAAATAATTCTCAAATATTCACCTCCATTTCTTTTCATCACTTTTCTCATGATAGTACAATTTTTACTCATTTTCTTTCTCATTATAATACAGATTCATCATACTATGTCATTCAAGTGCAGTTAAATCATTAATAAATCATTTACATCAATTCTCTTTTATCATAACATGAATTCAACATTTTCAAATAAGCATAAACTTTCAAGCAAAGACCCAAAATCACTGCAACATATCATTTGATACTTCACATTTTAATATCTCTCATGCAAGTTTCTCAAAATACCAAATGTCATACAATCAATTTCACATCATTCAATCAATACAATATCTTGAAAGTCAAATATCTTTAGACTTAACCCAATCGTGCAATTTTAAAAATACATATTATCAAAGATCACACTTTCTTAGTTTTTATAAAAATAATTTATTGTAGAGTTTAGCATCTTTTAATTTTCATTTTCCAACACACATACACACACACACATAATATATATATATATATATATATATATATATATATATATATATATATATATATAATAACATCTTTATGAAAATATCCTTAAAAACTCATTCTTAAACCATATCATAGGTTTTCCATACACAATCTATTTTTGACCATATGATTTCAAGAAAAATTTATATTTTTGTTATTTGAAATGAGGTAGTTTGAGTTTTCTAAGCCAAGATGTATAAATGAGACTCAGGGTTTAGGATCAACTCTCTTTACTTGAAAATGGGTCTCTGAGACTATATTCTTCGTGAAATCTAGAGAAAAATGCAACGTTATGACAGGAAATACTACCTAAAGACCAATATTTTTTTTCTAACATCACATAGTAGAGTACTTTATAAAATAAGAGAATAAAGAAACACGAGCAAGATTAAAGAGTTAAGCTCCAGAAACTTACTTAAATCTTGAATAGAATAGACGTTTGAGTTCAGATCTGAGAGATATTTGGAGTTTGGGAAGGTTTTCTCTAAAAAAAAAGAAGTAAAAGAACATAGAGCGAAATGAGAATGATTTCCTACTTTGAGATATGGGCTTTTAGAAGCTCAAAATTACTTAAATACTCATTTTTCTCGTGAATTCTCGCTTAAACGAGAAAATCATATAAAAATTATTACTTTTTTATTGATATTTTCACTTGAGTGAGCATATTTTCATTTGAGAAAAAAAGGCCCAAAAGCAACCATTTTCTGTCACAAATTTTCACTTGAACTACAGATTTCTTGCTTGAGCGATAGTACATGTGAAAAAATCTTATCCATTTTTGCTTAAGCGGAAATTTTAGCTCAAGCTAAAACTACATTTTCAATTTTTATTTTTTTTAGGCCTTCCATTTTTTAAACAAGAAAATGCAGTTTAAAAATGTAGCGTGCTAACAAAATTTATATGAAAGCAAATTTTAATTTCGTTGTCACATTAAAATACTTGAGTTAGATGCATTAATGTGTATATCAAAAGGTCCAATACCTCGTAAATGAGGTGTTTTTCTTGACCATAGCACTACTTTTCAACAACTTATAAGTTGTATGAATAAACTTAGTGTTGTTATGTAAATATGTTATTTCTATGTTAAAGAAATTATATACTAATTCTCACACCAATTTTTTCTACATATTATCTAAGAACACTATGAAATTATAGTATTTAAAAAATATGAACTCGGAGCAAACACAATCCAACTTGCATTGCATAAGCACCAAGTCAATTTAAAGAAAGAAGTTGGATTCTTATGGCTTCTTCAAGAAAGATGTTGCTCCCGTTATAATGGCCAAGATAAGGTCATAAATAACTCCAATAGATGCAATCACAGTAACAAAATTCAAAGAAACTGCTTCGTCAGTTCAAGTATCTTTAGTTGCTTATATCTAACTAGTTAATCTATTTCAGACAACTTATGCAATAAAAGCAAGATAAACAAAACTTAAGCATGTAGACAAAATATCAATTGATACAGTAACAAAACTTCCCTAAACAAAGTGAATTTTGAAATGTTGTTTTGCAAATAATAAAATATATTAAGTTATAAAATAATTGATCTTCTAACATAAATTTTATAATTAATTTTTAATTTTTATGAAATTCTCTTTAATTTAATTTTATTAATATAATAGAACATTTATTATTAATAATTACATATTTATTTATAAAATTTATTAAATTATATAATATTTTTTATTTAAATTATCTATTTTTTAATAATACCAGTGCAAAGAAAAAAATACTTATTAGCATTAAATATACGATGGTTAATATCAATTTCAACACAAACTCAGATATTATTTAACAATTAAAAATTAATATTATTAGAATAATTTCTAATTACCGTTACCGTAAAACAAAAACAAACTGTTTTTCAAAAGAAAAAGAAAAAGAAAAAAGAGGGGGGAGGGGCATTAGTACCTTTACGACCATCATTCATGAAGGATAACTTCTGGGATGTGTGCAATTTGGCGACTAACAGCACTTGTCTCTCTTTGGCATTCTTTAAGTAAGAGGAAACTATTATCAACCTCAAAAGTCTTTAAGTTGGTAAGACGACTCATTCCTTCGGGCAGAGATGCCAAATCTCGGCAGTATGAGATTGTGATCTCCTGAAGAGATGAGAGGTTGCAAATCCAATCTGGCAAAGCCTTTAGCCTTTTACACCAACATATGTTGATTTTTCGCAGGGCCGGAAGGCAGTTGGTGTTGTACTTAAACCCAGGTTCAAATTCTTCAAGTGTTTCACTGTCACACCATTGAATTGTAAGAAACTCGAGTGAAGTCCGATTTTGCATCCAACCCTGTGGTAAATTCATAGGATCAGAAATCGTCAATTCTTTGAGCATGGAAAGAGGAGCAGCTGAGGAAGATGAGTCAACTGAAAATGTTGGCGTTGTGTTTAGTGTTTCTGTTAATGGCTCCGCACTACATTGACACCATTTTAAATCCTTAAGATTTGGAAAAGTAGGCATGCAAGTCAACTGTGGACAGTCATAGACGCCTAGTTGAGAAAGATGAGGAAATGAAAGAGGTAAAGAGAGATTACGAGAATCATTGATATCATCTCTCAGCCTCCGCCATCCCCTGAGATTAGAGCACCACACTAATTTGAGGCTCTCCAAAGAGGGGAAAAAGTTTACTCCAAAACCATCTTCAGGAAGATATATGTATTCCAATTCATCAAAATAGCTTATCTCAAGTGACTTCAGCGACGGGAGACGTTCCAACGGTGGGAGACAGCGGCATTTACGAACATAAAAGAGAGTGATGTGAACAACATTTGTGAGGAGAGAAAGCCAATTTGGGAAACGCACGCCTGGATAAAAGTTCACCTGCAATCGCTCAAGATTATGGTGGGGCTGAAGGTTTTCTAATAACTGTGAGCTGTCACCGTTGAAGGTGTCTTCATCCGACCAATCCAGAGTCAAGGATCGAAGGAACTTTTTCTCTTTTAAATTTACATGCTGTGATTCCAGAGCCACGTCTCTCACACGGTTGAGATGATTAATTCTTAATTCGCCCCTTATGTGGTTTAAGTCTTTCAATTCATTTAGTGTGCCATATTTTGTTTCTTTGCTATCTCCCACAACAAAGTCTGGTAAGAATTGCAGCGACCACAATTTTCCCAACCCAACTGACATCCCATCCCAGGAGCGATAACCAAAAATACGAAGATATCTTAAATGCTTCAATTTTGCAATTGAATTAGACAATTTGCAAAAAGAAAAATCTGATATCTCTAAGACGTGCAAGTATTTCAAATTTGCAACAAAAGACACTTCCTCCTCTTCAAAATTGCAATTACATGGCAACATCAAAGTTCGCAGTCTGCTTGCATTCAATGAATCCAATAAATGAATGGCCCCCGTCTCCAAAGCTACGTGCATGGGACTACCTTCAACCTTTTCCGCCTTACTATCCAAGTAACAGAAATCATTGCCAGCAACAAGCCTTGCAAGATCATGCATTAAATCATGCATTTTGAAACTAATGATCTCGCCGTGTTCATCACTTTCAGCCTCTTGAAAAAATGAGTTCATAAAAAAAATCTTTACAAATTGGTTACCAATGTCTTCCATCTCCATGTGGTGTTTTTCAGCTGAACATTCAAGGTAACCCTGTGCCACCCATAACTGAATCAACTCATTCTTTGGAATTCTTGAATCCTTGGGATATAAAGAGCAGTAAGCAAAACATTGTCTCATTTCTGGCGACAAGTTGTGGTAACTGAGTTTTAGAATTGGCATGATACTATCTTGCTTTTCACATAATTTCCAGAAGCCACCACGTAAAACATTCTCCCATTCTTTTTCTTGAGTTTGTTCTCGTAACAGGCCTCCCAGCGTTTTAACTGCCAGTGGAACCCCTTTACAATTCTTAGCTATTTCTTTTCCCATTGATTCTAGATTTTGATTTACTCCTTTAGAATCACCTTCAAATGCAATGTTCTTCAACAAACTCCAAGATTCCTCATCAGTCAAACCTTTCAAGGGATAGGAAGTGCTAGCGGTCATTGCATTTGCTACATTTTTACTTCGAGTTGTCATTAAAATCTTGCTACCTTGAGCGCCACACATTAGGTACTTTCTCAATTCAGCCCACTTGTCATGTCTCTCATTCCAAATGTCATCTAGGACCAACAAATATTTCTTGCCACTTATTTTTTGGTGAAGTTTTCTTTGCAAGTTGCCTAATGATAACTTGTCTTCAACTTGGTCACCCGTAATTGATCCTAGTATTTCCTTCAGAATAGTTTTCACATCAAAGTTATCAGAGACACACACCCACATTTGCATTTCAAAAGAGTTCTGCACTTCCAAGTCATTATACACCAACTGAGCAAGAGTTGTCTTCCCTAAACCACCAATGCCAACAATAGCAATCACAGAAACTTTTTGGTTTTCATGTGGTTGTCTCAACAGACTAATAGTCTAAGTAAATGTTGACCTATCTAGGAATTTAATTCTATTTTAGCCAAGAATAAGCTATTGAATGGTGAACCTTAGGTTAAAACCCAGAACAGGATAATGGAGTGAATCTCTCCATTGATTAATGAGTACTTAGAATACTGTAATGAGACGTGTGTAATATAAAATTATTTATGTTTGGGATAACTGTTAAAATATGACTATACAATATGTTGAGACTGATTGAAAAGTGTTATGACAAATGTATTTAAATGTTTACTATATAATGTTGTTGGAATTGTGGTAGGCAAATGTGTCGAGTGGTAGGCAAATATGCCGAGTTGTAGGTTCCTTTCGGAATACTAATGTCGTAATGCCAGTTGGAATTGAGTTATACACTACAACAAAAACGAGCTTTTGAAGCGCTAACTTAGACAGCGGTTAGTATGAATCGCTTTATAATAATATATTTAGAGAGCAGTTAGCATTGAACCGCTCTCTAAGGAATACTTCTAAGAGAGGTTAATATTGAACTGCTCTCTACTATACACTTCTGAGAGCAGTTGATAGAGAACCGCTCTCTAATATATACTTCTGAGAGCGGTTCATTAGAAATCGCTCTCTAATGTATACTTCTGAGAGCGGTTCCTTGTTAACCGCTCTCTAAAGTCACACACTTCTGAGAGTAGTTCTTTATCAATCGCTCTCTAAAGTTTTTTTTTCTATCTTATAAATGAAGCGCGCTCTCAAATCTCTTCGTCTTGCTAACAAAGTTGTTCACTTTTATATCTGTAAGTTCTCTTCGTCTTCTTCATCTTTTATGCGCTAACAAAGTTGTTCTCTGTCTCTTTCACTGTAGGTTCTCTTTGTCTTTTTTGCGTTAAAAAAGTTAGTTTCTTTTACATCTGTTGCTACCTTTCTAATTGTTCTCTATATTATCTCTTTCTTTCTTTTTTCCTCTATTAACTGTAAACCATCCCGCTAATTTGTTCTCTTTTTTCTGCTTAATAGTGTTGCAGATGTGGATTGTTTGGATAATACAACGTACAAACTCAAGAAGTTTCACTTTTTATTTGTGATAAAAATGAAGAAAGTTTGAGCATAACAATAAATTAATTTTGGTTTGAAATAGAAAACTTACGAAGAAAGAAAATTCAAATTCCAGATTCATGGTATATTTTAAATGACATTCACTTTGTGAGAGCGGTTCCACATAGAACCAATTTTTAATATCAATATTTAAGAGCGGTTGTTTAACTGCTCTCTTAAGTGCAACATATTAGATAGCGAGAAATTTTAGAGCAGTTCTAAACGCTTTCTAAATTAAAATGGAACCACTCTGACATCTCCATTTTGGTGTAGTGATAGTAGTTATTATTGAGGTTGATATTATTGTCGTAGTTGTCGGTACTCAGTGTGTTAATAAAAAGAGTTGTATTGATAAGTAAAAGTTTGGAAAAATTGCTGAATAATAAGTTGTTCACATATTTATGTTGGACCATTGGAAGCAGTTCTTCCCTCTCCAGTAAAAGAAGTATTTGAAATATTCAAAAATAGATATGCTCCCAACAGATAACCCGAAGTGGATCAAAGGAAAATAAAATAGACTGAAAGGGAAATAGGCAGTAGTAGGACTACTAAATAAAATGCAGAATGTAAAGTGCAGAAAATTAAAGTAGTAAATTTAAAACATAAGAAACTAGAACGGCGGTAGAACCATCACAGATCTAGTAGAGGGAGAAGGGAAGAAAGCCGGACGACGGTAGTCCGAACAGAACCGGCTAAGAGGGAGAAGAGAGAAAATAAGATTGAAACAACAAACTTTTATTAAAAGATCTCAAAGAGGGAAGGCTTACAGAGGATTGTATCTCTCAGAGCTTCTCTCTCTAATATCTCTCTAAGATTGCTAAATGAAAGGGTACCTCACAATATGGACGAGGCCTCCTTATAAAGAAAAAATTAAGATACTATTTGTATAGTTCCGGTAAGTAACAGGAACTGTTTCTACAGAGTCGGTCACAATTCTGTTATGTCTATTCCAAAACAATCATCTTAATTTTGATAGAAGTCGTCATCTTTGTTAGGATTAGACTCTTGTTTGGTAGAAGACTCAGTTTCATCTTGATTTAACAGAAGAAGAACTTCTTTTAAGTTTTTCTTCATCTTATCTTTAGAATCACATCCTGATAGGAATGCGGCAATTTTTGCTTTCTGATTCAGAAATTGAGAGGTTACAGGATCAGCAAGCTTCAAGAGTTTTGGATTGTTTCCAAAAAACTCATTAACTCTTTGTGGTCCAGCATGTTCTGCATTGAATTGGTTCCACCACTTCACAAAAGCATGTCTGTGAATCATAGGAAGAATTTCGTCTTCTTCTATCTTGCTATACCTGTACTGCCATGAGAATACCCAGGCCATTGCAAATGCAGAGAAATACTTGAGATCTGCACCAATTCTGTTAGGAGCATATCTATTTTTGAATATTTCAAATCCTTCTTTTACTGGAGAGGGAAGGATTGCTTCCAATGGTCCAAAGAAGTCCCACCATTGAAGGAACCAGTTAGGAAAATTGTAATTCTGATTTTTCTTGAAATATATCAACCAAGAGTGTCGATTGAGTTTATTCTGGAACCAGAAAGTCCTTGTCCAGGCATCTATGTAGTCTCAGTAATTGTATCCTACCAGATCAAAAGGTTGGGAGAATTTCTTGAATGCATATGGATTGTTTCCAAAATTCTTAGGTGACAGAATCTTTAAAATCTGTATAGTTGAATGTGTGATTATTGAAGGATCTTTTTGGTCCTTGTAATGTTTAATAGAGACAGAATCTGAGTCTATTAATATGAACTCATAAAATTGTCTAGTTTTATTTAAGTTGTATGGTCTAAAATGAAAACCAGGAGGGAAGGCTTTGGTGATGGCTTTGTATGGGTTTTTGTCCCAAAATTCGGGTTCCATTTGGATGACAGAGGAGAATTTTCCTTTTGCCATGTAATGGTTGATATTTGAGGTTTTACCTTTCTGAAGGCTAATAGCTTTCTCTGTTTTATCAGGGAGACTTATTGTCTTTTGTGATTGGCTAAAGGACTGGATAATTGTGTTTAAGTTTGCTAAATCAATTTCCATGTCTTCATCGGAGGCAATGTCTGCCCAAGATTTCTTTGGTAGGCTGTTTAGACTACCTTGTTGTATGGCTAGGAGTGTATTAACAGGGAAAGCATAATCTGCTTTGGTTTGTTTAACACTTTTTGTTTGTGATTGGGAAGAATCAGCCTTGTTAGATGAGTCTTTTTTAGGAATCACAGATTGCTGAGTAGATGACTCTACAATCTGGATGGCTTTCTGGGTAGATGACCCAGCCGGAGTGGATGACTCCGAAGAATCAGAACAAGAGTCTGTTGTGGCAGACTTTGATTTTGTTTTGTTGAGCGTTAGGGCGAGCCTAACTCTTTCTCCTCTAGACGAGCCTTCCCTAGAAGGGGCTGTTGCCTTTCTAGGCATTCTATTTGTCCTGTAAATATTCACGGGTTAGGTAGTCAGAAAGAGAATTGGAAGTGCATTTGAGATATTCAATATCAAAATCAAAAGTACTTAAAATTGCTTGTCATCTTGCAAAAATTTGTTTTGAGGCAAGGTTTTTTACATCCTTTTGTAAAATTTCTTTAGCAGACTTGCAGTCTACTCTAATAAGAAATTTTTGGTTTAATAAATCAGATTGAAATTTTGAAACACATAAAACAATTGCTAAAACTTCTTTTTTAATAGTTGAATAATTCTGTTGTGCAGAATTCCAATGTTTTGAAGTATATGCAATGATATGCTCATGCGACTCAATTCTTTGTTTGAGAATGCCACCATAACCAATATCTGAGGCATCAGTTTCAACAATTTTAAAAGCTTAAGGAATAGGAAGATAAATACAATTTATCTTTCTAACTCTATTTTTAATTTCTTTGACGACGTTGGTGTGAACATCAGTCCAAGAAGGAGGATTCTTCTTAAGCCTATCATGTAAAGGCTTACTGATATTATTGAGGTGTGGAATAAAATGACCTACATAATTCAGACAACCTAAAAATCTTTGTAACTGAGTTTTATCTAAAATTCTGTCAGGAAATTTATCAGCAAATTCAATGAACCTACTGATAGGAATGATTGTTCCTTGATGAATATTGTGGCCAAGGAATCTAATATTTGTTTGAAAAAGGTTAATTTTAGACTTGAAAACTGCAAGTCCGTTATGTTTAATCACATTGATAAAAACATTTATGTGTTTGAAATGTTGATCAATGGAATGGGAGAAGATAAGAACGTCATCAATATAGACGATGACATATTTTGAATAAGGATTGAAAATATCATTCATGACTTTCTGAAACTCTGACGGGGCATTTTTAAAACCGAAAGGCATAACATTCCATTCGTAATGCCGAAAGGGAACAGTAAAGTCAGTCTTGTATCTATCATTTTCACAAATTTGGATTTGCCAAAATCCGGATTTCATATCAAATTTGGAAAAAACCTTAGCAGAATTTAATCTTTTAAATTCTGGTATCAGAGCCTGATGGGGAAGTAGGAATATAACTGTTGATTATTTATAACCATGTTCTTCTGGATCTGGACTTTAGATTTCTTTATGAAATTTCTGTAATCATGGTTTATAGGGTGGACAGCTGACAGGCCCTTAGGGTGAGACTTGTAATGGTCGTCCCTGTCTGTAACAACGCCACAAACTGATGATTCTGAAATATTGCTTTTGTACAGTTCTTTGCTTATGAAAATCCTTTACTAGAAGTACAACAGTTCTTAGTTCTCTTGAATAGAGCTGTAGCAGTAAGTCCCGTGTGGTTAAAGGGCAGTAAGGCTAATTTGACGATGCTGTATTCAAAAGAAGCCAAGAACATAAGAAGCTGGTGGCTATGGTAAAAGAATTTCAAAATTTGTAAATCTTAAAAAAAAAAAAAAGTCCACAAATAACCAGATCTAGTTGAGAAAGTTATAAATAATTAACAGGTGTATTGTTATGGAACCAGATGAAGGTGATGTGCCAGAAGTATCTTTACGATGTCTAGACTATTGTGCTCTTTCTCTCGCATTTCTTTCCGATCTGGCTCTAGTTCATCTTCCTCCTCTCCAACC